TACCACAGCTTCTCTAGCCATTCGTTTGTTGATGGGCACTTAGGTTGTTTCCAACTCCTTGCTATTGTGAACAAAGCTGCAATAAACATGGGTGTGCACCACAATTTCTCAATCCATTCAATTATAGTTAGACATTTGGGCTGTTTCCATGTTCTTGCAATGGTGAATAATACTACTATGAACATTGGTATACAAATCCCTGTTTGTGCCTCAGTTCTCATTCTCTTGGGGATATTCCAAGCAGTGGAATAGCTGGGTCATAAAGAATTTCTATGTTCAGCTTTTGGGGAAAGCACCAAACTGCCTTCCAGAATGGTTGTACCATTTTACAATCCCACCAATAATGTATAAGAGTTCCTATCTCACCACGTCCTCTTCAGCATTTATTACTTGCTGTCCTGTTAAACTTTGCCACTGCTACTGGAGTCAAATGGTTTCTCATTGTGGTTCTGATTTGCATCTCTCTTATTGCCAATGATTTTGAACATTTCTTCATGTGTCTGTTGGCCATCCAAATATCTTTCTCTGTGAAAATTCTTTCCCTGTCTTTTGCCCACTTTGTAATTGAGTTATCAGACCTTTTCTTGTGGAGACCTTGTAGGATTCTGTAAACTTCTGATATGAGACCCTTGTCTGAAGTGGTATTGCTAACTGTTTTTTTCCCAGTGAGCAGGTTTTACTTGCACTCTGTTGGAAAATGCTTTTGATGCTCAGAGGGATTTAATCTTTAGTAGGTCCCATTCATCAGTTTTATCCTCACCAAATTGTATATTTCTGGCTTTATTTGGCAGTCTCTTTGATACCATAGACTAGGCTGTCTAAACTTGATTCCAGTGTGTCTCAATCTTTATGGTTTTGGGCTTTACTCTCAGGTCTCTGAACCACCTTGAGGTGATTTTTGTGTATGATGTGAGATGTGGAGCTTATTTCAGCTTTCTGCAGGTAGCAGTCTAGTTTTGCCAGCACCATTTGTTGAAGAGGTTGTCATTTCTGCATTTGAAAGGTTTTCTTTCTTTGTCAAATATCAGTTGACCATAGATAGCTGGGTCTATTTCTGGGTTCTCAATTCTGTTCCACTGGTCTATGTGCCTCTCGGTACCATGTAACAGTACCATGCTGTTCTGGCTACTACCACTGTGTTTTGAAGACAGGGATTGTTATGCCTCCCACTTCATTTGCAGAACAATTTTTTTTAAAAAAGATGTAAACCATAGTAAAAATAAAAAAAGGAAATCAATAGTCTGGAAACATTTTCTTAGAATACGTTAAAAATATACATTCCTGGATTAGTACCTTTCAGAAAATTGTGTTCTACAAATGAGGTCGTATGTCTTCACTCTAATGGCCACAGTTCTGAGTATGCTTTTTAACTTAAAAACAGTAGCTGTCTTCTTAGAAATGAGTGTATTTTAGAACAGTACAACTTCTAAAATGAAAAGAAATATATGTAGTTCTACTCAATCTGATCTAGTAGTCAAAAAACAGAAAAGAAAATTCACCTAATTCCACACCAAATTCCCCAAAACAGGAGGAATAAATAATGAATTAATTTGTACTTAAGTACCCAGTAGGTAGCCCATCATGTGGAAAATCTCTATTTATGAGTTTCCCCATTGCTCAGAGATATTCCCTATATTGTAGCTGGTGTTAGATGGATCTTAGCTGAAAGCAGAGAATACCAGAGGAATGTCTATCTGTGTTTCATTGACTATGCAAAGGCATTTG